CAGCAGGTCCAGAGTATCATCAATCGATGCTTAGCAATACACGATAAACTGGAAGTATCATTGCGTGATCTTTCTAGGACAGGGGACGCTCAGTCATGCAAAGCGGCTCGAAAAGCCGCCGATGCTTCGTTGAAAGAGCTTACAAAAGAGCTGAAGCCTTTGTTGGGATTCCTGCAATCATCACAGCAAGCTGCCCAGATATTGCCCAAGGTTTGCCTGCTTGTTCCCTGTTCTTTTTCTACTGAGTTACAGCGAGTCACTAATACATGATTTAATAGCAACTAAGCCAAAATTTTGGAGAAGTAATTGTTATTGTTTTGGAATTCCATGACACGGTTCAATATGCTTAGATTTTCACAGATGGCATGATATTATGCTCAACTGCTGTAGTTTTTTATTTCTATTTTTATTTTTGATAGGTCGAGAATCTGGTGGCCAAGGAGAAAGATTTGCAGGATAGATTACTAGCGAAACACTCCACAGTTGTGGACTGCTATGAGAAGAAATATGGAGGAAAGGAAATTGAGAATCGTGTCGCTCAACATCAGCAGAAAATCAATGCCTTGAGGCAGGAGGTTGACGATCTTCTCGACTTCATCGATGAAATATAAAGAATGAAAATGTTACGATTGCCCTCTCCTTGTGTTAAAGTTTTGAACTTATAAATTTTGTCCACTGAAGCAGCGGGGATAACATATTAGTTTTTAAATCTTCAATTTATTCAGATAGAAAGGTTGAGTAGCATTAAGGACTAATTTCACTTAATTCTTGTTGGCTACCTTTTACTTCACTAGAAGATCTTGTGTTCCTGGGAAAATCTGGTCGTGTTTCTTTCTTTGTTCTGGTAAGTGGTAATTAAAAGACGGGCAGAGCCTCAGGACCTCGCAATGCATAGCCGCCACGGAATCCATAAATCTACGACGGTATATCCCTTCGCCTTTGAAACTGTCCTTCCTTCTTGAGGCTTGGACATTCATCCAACACATATATATTCCTTTCAAAAACAGAAAATGGCTTTTGAGCGGGGGCACTTAGTAGCAGTTAGCTACTCTAATTCTCATCTTTAACAACTTGTTGCTATTCCAATTGGCACTACCATGAGGTAGGTATCTACAGTAAATTCTCTTGATACAAAAAAATAATTCAATTATATAGCAACTCTAATTGAAAGGAAAATCGAAGGGAAAAGGTATCCATGCGAACTCGGATGCCACACATTTCTCATGAGCAAAACCAAGGTCACTTTCCTTATGGGGAATTCACTTGTAGAAGCTCGATATTTAACTCAAATGTCGCTCCAGGCTGCCAAAAACAAAACACGGTCGTTAAGTAGAGAAAAATGAAATTAGACATTGCCATTGATCGTATTAAGATTGATGTGGGGGGATTTAAAGAGCTCACCGGGATCTCGTTACTTCCCTTTTTGCCATACCCGACCTCCGGAGGAACAATCACAGTTCTCTGCAAGAAAGGAGTAAGGAATTGATGTTGTGCATTCCCAAACCGCATGTAAATTTAACTTCAAAAGGTTGTTTTTACATTTGAGAAAGGCAAAAAACACTACCAACCTTCCCTCCAACTTTCATGCCCTCAGTAATGGAGTACAAGGCTGGCGGGGGTTTTGGTGCGGCCTGTGCAGAAAAGAGACCGTTTGGATTATCGACAAACTCTCGCTTCCGTTCTTTGCCCGGCAGATCTCCAACTTTGAACTCGTAGGGCTACTCGAAACCATGAACAAAGGGAGGACTCATTCGCAAACCAAAAGTTTTTTCCTAGTAGAAAAAAAGGTGCTGAGGAATGAATGAGATGAGAACCTGGGCAATGATACGGTTTCCAGCTAAGAGCTTGGATTCTCTACTTGAGATTGCTGTGATCCTACGGTACACGCACTCAAAGTGAACCTGTCAGTTTCAAGTATCAATCCCCCATTCACATTAGATCCAAGTTACACCCAAAAAAAAAAAAAGTGTAGAAAACACCCATTGCTTTGCTTATATAATCACAGATAAAAATACCTGAACAGTTGATCCTTTCTCAGCTACTGGACCCTTTCCCTCAACCACATCGTAGTATTTCAATCCATTAGCTGTTTTTACCCCCCCAAAAAAAAAAAAAAAAAAAAAAAAAAAAAAAAAAAAAAAAACTTTGTTAGTTAAATTCGAAATCTAAGGAAGAACAGAATAGCAGTGCGTTCCCACTATTCATTATCACATTCACAGCCATACATTAGCCAAAAAAAAAAAAATTATGTTCTTTTTATTTTGTATTAGCAAGTTAATTTTGGTGGCTAGCGTCTGAAAGTGTTATCTTGCGTACGGTATTAAATCCTTATTCTACTGTTTATCAAATAAAGCAATTGGATTTTGATAAAGAAAGTGGTTATCGGTGGGAATTAAGCATCACATATTAGGGGTCAAATAGGAGGACATACAACAACAAATTAGGAAACACGCACGGACAAAAAGCAATTAAACGCAAGAATCATACCCAGATATTTAGTTGTGATTTTTCGAAAAGCAGATTTAAACCAAATTACGGCTTTATAACTTAAAAAAAATCAAAATATCCACTCTTATATTCTTGATGGCTAATTTACTTGCTAAAAAATAAGGCGAAATCCACAGTACCCAAATTCAAAAGACCATCTATGATTGCAATAAACTGAGAGAGAGAGAGAGAGTAACAAACGGCTAGTAAGGTAATCTTCAAGAGGGATGGTCTTCTTGTTGCGTCTCTCTCTGGCCTCAGATGGTGGAACAACTGGAGAAGGCAATGAGATAAGGCTCCACGGCAACAATACAGATGAAGATATCAGAATCACACATCTTCTGGAGATTGGTTGCTGAATTTGGGATATGGTGCTTTTCGAATTTGTAGCAGTAGAAACTTCAATACTACCACCACATTTAACGGTCCAGTGGTGCAAGCACCGTATTGAAGCCATGGCCGTTAATTGGACTTGGAATATATTGACTTTTTGTAGCCTTATATATACATATCCCTATCCATTTCCCTTTCTCAATTACGATGATGTCCATCTTCCTTTTTGAAATTACGATTTTAGAAGCCAATCCCAAGACATGGTGATGCATCACTAATATATGTAGTGCGGTAAAATGACGGAAATCCATGTTATTATGCAGTAGTCACTAGTTATAAGGTAGAGCATATTTCTTTGATGATGGGTAACTTTCTCTCGTGGTCCATAAATAAAGGCACAAAAAGAATATTCTTTGGTACTTTGCAATTCCTCTAAAATTTCATCTCAAGAAAAGAAAAAAAAAAATTATGGGTGTATAGTTTTTAGTACCAAAAAAAAAGAGAAAAAAACGCAATTCATTCTCAACAAAAAACAAAAGAGTACCGCAGATATCTATCTAGATTGGTACTAAGTAAATACACATGAAATGTACAACTTTGCGAGGCCCCGAGATTGTCTAAGCAACAATCATCTAGCTAAGAATAACAGAAACTTCACCAAAACCAGTAATTTAAGTGCAACTCTTCTACTCAGAAAATATTAGCAGAGTTCGTACTTCTAAAGTAGGTCAGGATGGCCGTAGTTGTGACTAGAATTAGGGGGATGAAGTTCAACATCCACACTGGCCATGATGTTGGCTGCCGGAGGCTGAGAACGTCCCTGTGGATGTGTTGGGGAGTGCACCGGCGACTCCCCGGGACTTCCTCCCAATACCCTTGTTGGGACCTTCTCATCCTTCTTCTTAACTGCATTTTTGTGCCACTTCTTCAGTGCCTTTGACGTTTGCTCGTCGAATATCGACTTCTTCATCGTCGATCCCATCTACATTTTCACAAATTTTCCACAACCCCACAACGAAAACGCATGCTTTGTTATAACTTGATATAGAAGCATTGTTAAGAGATAAACAACAACTCAAGATTATGAACTTTATATACAGCTAGTTAGTTATGATTCGAATATCCAATCTACATTTTCACAATTTGCTTCACCCCCACAAGAGAAAAAGTATGCGCTGTTACAGCTTGATTGAGATAAAGCATCGTCAAAAGACAAACAAACAACTCAAGATAACTGAATATACCTGTGTGACCAGTGCATATAACGGTAGTGTGACGTAGCTGCACACAAATTGGACTCCAAACCTGTTCAAGGTTAAAGTAAGACTTGTAACTCTAATTTGGTGGAGTTGTAATTTGAGGGAAAAGAAAAGGCTACAATTTTTTTTGAGCATTGAAATATTAGTCAAGGGAAGATGTACCCAAGGGCAACTCTCAATATTATGAGATTAAAATCCTCGTGAAAGCAAGACCTTAATCCGAACTCGTACTGCATGCAGAAATCAGAGTGAAGATTTAGGATTTGAATGAAGTAGATATGCAAAGGAAACCGCATTAGAAGAGGATGGTGGATTGATCTGTTACCCATATCCAAAAGAAATATGTTATCTCGAACGCGTTCTGAACATAGAAGATGAACAATTAATCAGCACTCGGAAACGTTTTCTTAAAAATCTGATTTTTACGAAGATAAAATAAACGGTAAGGAATACCTGGAAGAGAACGAAATGGATGAAATGAAGAATTAATTGGGGCCAACTAAACCAAAAATGTCGATCTGAGACTTGCACCAGAGGTATCCCTTGAACTACAGCATGTCGTTCCTGAATTTCAAGTGCCATTTGCGTTATAATTCCTTGAAGCTTTGTTCCCACAGCTAAGGTCACCTTCAACAAAGAGAGGAATTATATTATTAGCCCTTTCTTGGCTGTAAAGTAACCATAAACCAGAAACTTCATTTTTGGGGACATTTCTTACAACTAAAGGTAGTATGGACAGCCAAAACATAGCCTGCCATCCTGAAAGGAAGAAAAATCTTCATTTAATTATATCGAAATACTATGTAGATGTTTTGGAGAAGGAAAAGAAACAGGAGAAGGAAGATTAACCGTGAACGTTGAGAAGCAGAAAGAACACCATTGAAGTCCATAATAGTGGACTGCAGAATCATCTTTGACGTTAGTCGGGGAATTCACGGCTTGAATTCGAAGAAAAATGTTACTAATAAGGCCACAAAAGCATTAATGAAACAAGTGCAAGAAGCTTACCTGATTCCCACAACCACCTTAAAGTCATCTTCCAATGACCTTTTGATATACTTCTGAAAATCAAATTTACTTCCAGGGGCTAAATGAACCTGTCAATAAGAACATTCACTATCACTGACGATTCACAGAATTTATGATAATTCAGATTCCAGTCAAGTTTTAGAGAAACTCACAGTGACAAATCCATGTCGCATAGTCAAGTAATCAGCCTTTGTAACAGACCTAAAGAATTGCCGAAGAAAACAGACCTGCAAAGATTGAATGTTCAAGAAAACAGGTATCGATGAAGGGAATACCATTTTTTGAGTTTCTAAAATCGAGAGATTTATTACACCATAGAAGGTGACTGGTGTTTTGGTCCAGAATCTTGTATGATCTTTTACAAAAGATGTCTCGTGAGTAAGCCTGAATTTTGAAGGATCTGAATAATAAGAAAACAACCACTTTAGCACTCAAAACACAAGTATATGCAGAAATTCACTGCACTGACCAACAATTGCAAACTTCACTAAGGAAACAGAAGTACTTTCTAAAATTCACTAACATACCGTTCATGAATTCCTGATGGTGGGCCGTTTCTCGTTCCCACACTTTCCAGCCACGAATCTGCATAAAACAATGTAGATTGAACAGCCATATTTACAGATCAAGGCAATACAAATAGAAAATCAACACAAAAGAACTGCCAAAATGATTAAAGTTCAATCAAAGACTTGATACTTCCACATTTATTTTGCAATCTGATTAAACAGGAAAACATAAAAAAAATGTGTACCGACCTTTAATCTTCCAAGCGTCATGGTCATGGCACTGTAAATAACATGAAACAGAGCTAAAAAGAATATGAAGATGTGCAATTGATGTAGCCCATTTAGAGATATGAGTGGCACATGCCCCTGTATCAAAACAAACAAACGTTTATTCCATCAGTTATGACCAGGTAATTTATACATCAATTCTTTAGCTCATCATATTCCACATTCGAATTCTTACCAGTTTACAGTCGGCGCCTACGCTACCGGCAGCTAAAAATCTACGCTCATACCACAAAAGCTTGCGATGATGTTCATGATCCCCACCAGTGACTTCTGTCTCATGTCCTGATTCGTAATTGTGATCACTTCCAGTCAAAGGGCAAGGCAACATTGTGTCTGCAATCTTCATGGGAATACAGATTCTAACAATGTAGTTTTGCCCAAAAGTCATTAACAGAGAAATGAACCCCAGAACCATAAGCTCTGCAGTACAGGAAATCATCAGAAAGCCAGAAACAATTAATCGATACGAAAGCACAAGAACTTCAGTAATCAAATTGGAAACATAAAAGCTATCAATATCGGTGATAAATAGCAAAAACAGATTGTGTTGGCTGATTCTATGAGATAATAGGATTGGTGCTTTTACCCCCTTTCACTTTCTGAAGAGCTTCAAACAAAGCTTTCTTTTTTCTTTCTTGAAACCACTGAAACAGAAAAAATAGAAATTGTTTTACACATGGACATATAGTTGAGACACGCAAATAAGCATTTATACAAATTTTTCTAAGAATCATTCTGTATATAAAGAACTTGTCTATAAAAAGGATATGAATGGAAAAGCCGAAATTTAAACAGGAAACGAATCAAATGAGAAATAGGGGATTGGTGTTAGGGGGTTGGGTGGGGGGCTTACTTCTCCGACCAAGTGAAGAACCTTCTCGAGAATGATGGAGATGACGATGATGACGGCGCAGACGGAGGCCACAGCCCACGTCGGCGTCTGATCGAGCTCTCTCGTCTTGGTGTCTCCACCACCACCCCCCATTTCCAACAAGCACTAACAACACCAGAAATATGCAAAATGCACATCCACCGGCAGAATGAATTATGTATAATGATTATTATTGTTATTATATGATATGCAAAAAGTAAAACGATTTCTCCAGATTCAACAACAACAACAACGAAAAGAAGAAGAAGAAGAATGAAACAGAGAAGAGCAAGTTTGATGATGGGAATTGATTAAAGAGGAGTGTTAGTATTGTTATTATATGATATGCAAAAAGTATAACGATTTCTCCAGATTCAACAACAACGAAAAGAAGAAGAAGAAGAAGAAGAATGAATGAAACAGAGAAGAGCAAGTTTGATGATGGGAATTGATTAAAGAGGAGTGTTAGTAGGGATTCGTTTGCCTAAATTAAGATTGAGGCTCAAAAGCACCCACCAACGAACTCATCAATATGTTCAACTACTCGGAATACCGCAATTTGAGGGCCTCCCGCCAAATTTATATTATATAATAATTTAATGCTCAGGAAATTTTGACTTCTTGTTTAATTAACCAATAATTTTAAAAATAAAATAAAAAAAGGAAAAAAAAGTAAAATTTACGCCGTTGCCGGGGATCGAACCCGGGTCACCCGCGTGACAGGCGGGAATACTCACCACTATACTACAACGACTTGGTGGCCAAACTGCTGGTCAAATAATTAAAATAATAAGATCAGAGAAAAGTTTAAATTACAAAAGAATAAAAATAAAAATTTAGGCTAAGTTTGTTTCGCTCATTTGAGTTGAAAGTGAATTCATTTGAGAAAAAAAAATACTTTATAGAATAAAACATTAACAAAAAGGAGAAATGAAAACACAATAGACACACTAAATAGAATTGTAAGAATGTTAAAATGGATTACCTCTACGAAGAAATAGGAAAAAGAATAGACGGCAACAGAAGAAAAGGACAATAAAATGACGAAGAAATAGGAAAAAGAATAGACGGCAACAGGAGAAAAGGACAATAAAATGAATAAACGACAATGAAAATAAGAGGATAAGAAAAATGAGCAAAATACGAACAAATTTAAAACAACATTTAAAGAAAACTGCAAACAATAATTAGCATTTGAGTTTCTTTGTCCTCTATTGGTCCTACTTCTTGTGTTGGCAAAAAAATGCTCGTGCACTTCAAACTGGAGAACAACCAGCATGAAGGATGAGTTATTTGACACCCAACTCGAGTAGCACAGAACTTGACGAGAGTTTTAATGAACGAGAGTTGCCCGATCTCTTGCTTCCCATCGAGGTGCACCGCTATGAGTAAGAGAATGGAGAGAGCCTCATTAACCATGTCTAAATTTCAGTCCTTATGCAATTGGAGCAAGGATGCAACAATTGCCCTAGTTCTAGGGGCTTGGTTAAGGGACTAGTTAAAAGAATGCGATGGTTGCATCTTTCTTGACCCTAATTGTTCCATTTTATTCGTTTGAAAATTCTTCCTAGTGGATTTGATTGAGCCTTGGATTTTTCTATTTAGGAGTGATAATTCGTGTCACGTGTCGTATTCGTATCGTATTTTGATCATTTTTCATTAAATTTACAGTCAACCCGAACACGACCCATAACACGAATTTTTATTTTAAAAACCACAACACGAACATGACACAATCACTTTACGGATTGACACGACACGATACAAAAATGACCTGTAACACTAAATTGACTCGTGAACTCGAAATTGACACGAAAATTATTTTTTCTTTAGTTTTTTACATATTAAAAATAACTTAAAATTTATAACACACTAAAATATAATAACATCCATCAAAATTAAGGAAAAAATAATATAAGATTTTTATAATAAAATTTAAAATATGTAATGAAAAATTTTTTTTTTTTAATTTTTTACGAGTTTTGTGTTGTGTTTAGGTTAAGCGAGTCTAACTCAAAATTGACTCGTATTTTTTATATCAATTTTAAATTGATCTAATTCTAATTTGAACATCTTTTTTTTTTCAACTCTAACTTACAAAATTTATGTCATTTTTAAATCTTATTGTCATGTGGTAACCTATATTATTGACTCTATTTCCATCCAACAGATGAGATTATGATGTCTTCTTATTTCTCCGACAATTCTTGATGGAGTCTTTTCGAATTTCAAAAGAAATTGCATATTTTCAAATTCCAACAATTTTGTTGCGACATTTGTCCCAACATATTTGACAGGGGCGGTTTCGTTAGGTAATCCTAACACATGCTATGATGGGATGCTTGACAACGGGCAGTGGTCATCAACTCAGTTTCACTCCCATAGGTCTTGACTGCTGTTAATTAAACAGTAAAAAATTTAACAAGTTCATTTTATGAATTTAAATTTTATTACAGTAAATAATTTTTAAAAATAATTATATTTAATTTTGTTTATTATAATAAAAAATTTTCATATAAAATTACATATCAATTTAAATTAACAAATTAAACAGGTTTTGTGGTCCAATTTTGTTTCGCAATTACGAATGTCGAAGGGACAATCTCTTGAGTTTGCAGCTTCCTGGGCTCGAATTGCCAACAACTTACAAGATAAGCACCGAGCTCTTCTCATCTAGACAAGTCATTAGGATATCTATTTCTAACAACTGACATCCTATCATTTGCAGGAATCAAAGGCAACAATTTTCCGGATGTTGTTGTTACTCGGCTTCTTTTGAGTAAATTTTTTATTCATATTTGCACGTCAGGCTGAACTTATATGTGTTTGCATACCGGCAGTAGAGTTCACGGCTGTGCTAGAGTTGGTGCCTGTTGATCCAAGAGAAACTTGAGAGCCTGGTGAAGTAGACCCATTTACCCCTTCCAAAATATAAACAAACAAACAAATAAATATTATTCAGGGCATTTTTGATAAGTAACGCTTCTTAAGTTAGTTGGATATGAATTACCAATTAACTCAGGGCATGTTTATTTGAATGTATTAAAGTACCGTATTGTATATATTATTTGATGTGACTATCGTATTATATAAACTAATACGAATGGTAAATTAATATGGTCTATATTGTATTATTGAATACGGCTCATTTTTGACGTATTATATTTTTTTATTTTATAGTAGATCAATAATTTATGTCGCTGTTGGACAAGACTAGAGGTCGATCGAGGTTGTGCCAAAATATGGTCATGCCGAAGCCTATGATTGTTGAAAAATTTAGGGGGCACAATGCAAATTTTTTATTTCTAAAAAATGTATTTTGACCCCAAAATTTTTATAAAATTACATTTTAACTGCAAAACCTTTCTAAAATTACACTTTACCCCAAAAATTTTATAAAAATTATATTTTGACCCCAACATTTTTGAAAATTTACATTTTGACCCTAAAAATATTAAAATTCTACATTTTGACCCCATACATAATACATTATGACACCAAACACTGCATTGTATTATGATTACACAACACAATACATCAAAATACAATACACTTTATACAATACAATACAAGTTACTAAACATGACCTTATATAAATATCGCAAGGAGTTCTACGAATATTTTTGCCTATAATAATAATAATAATAATAATAATAATAATAAATTACACTTTGACCCTAATATTTTATAAAATTTTATTTTGACCCTGATGTGACCATCGTATTATATAAACTAATACGAATGGTAAATTAATATGGTCTATATTGTATTATTGGATACGGCTCATTTTTGACGTATTATATTTTTTTATTTTATAGTAGATCAATAATTTATGTCGCTGTTGGACAAGACTAGAGGTCGATTGAGGTTGTGCCAAAATATGGTCATGCCGAAGCCTATGATTGTTGAAAAATTTAAGGGGCACAATGCAAATTTTTTATTTCTAAAAAATGCATTTTGACCCCAAAATTTTTATAAAATTACATTTTAACTGCAAAACCTTTCTAAAATTACACTTGACCCCAAAAATTTTATAAAAATTATATTTTGACCCCAAAATTTTTGAAAATTTACATTTTGACCCTAAAAATATTAAAATTCTACATTTTGACCCCATACATAATACATTATGACACCAAACACCGCATTGTATTATGATTACACAACACAATACATCAAAATACAATACACTTTATACAATACAATACAAGTTACTTGTAATGACTGAGAAAATCTCAGACCTTAAATAATACAATTTATGTATTTAAGCCAAGGATTTTCTTAGACAAATATTACGTGACTGAAGGATTTATGGAATTAATATATGTATTCCTAAATTCTGTAGCAGATTTCATGTTAAGTTCATGTTTTCGATCAAGTAAATTCGATCGATAAATTCTCGTCGTACTTTAAGGCGGAATAATTTTCAATACAAGTATAGTTTGAGAATCTTAATTTCAAGAATCTCCAAACATAGCAAGATGTTAGCAGCGTATAAAAAAAAATGCACCAACATTTTAAAAGAAGAGAAAATCATTAATTGCCAGACAGCTAGGTTAAAGTCAGAAGATAAATACCCATAGTAGAAGGGTACAATGTGAGCTCGGGATTTGACACCGTCAGAAACAATGTCATTCCCGAGATTTAATGCAGAAAAGTTAAATTTAGAATTTATTCAGTCTAGAATTAATTTCAAGACTTGAAACAGTTTAAGATATTACGCGAGTGAGAATTTAATGTGATCCCTAAGTAGTCGGGAATTAATATTAAATTGTAAATAAGCAGTTGAAAAGGAATCGTCAGAAACTAGAATTTCCTGTCGGCTAAGTTACTTACCTACAGTTAGTATAATTTTTAGCAGTTTCAAGAGAAACTTAAGAGAGTAGACAAAAGGACAAGGGGTAGGATTTATTTTTCTCTCTCTCATTCTCCACTTGGCCGGCCATGTATAGTAGAAATAGAGCCAAAATTTGGCTAGTTGAGTGTGATAAAAGGTTACAAGTTATGGTGTGATGTGATGGTAGTGGTTGAAGGGGAATTAATGACAATTTTGCTTCTCATTTTCTCCTTCCATAACCGGCCAAGAAAGGGGAGAATTGAACCAAAATTTGGTT